CAGATTGTTCCATTAGAATCCAACATGATCTCCTTAGTGAAGCCGACTCTGATAGCTCGTCCATCTGGGATCTCTACCGTGCTACGGTGAATAGGGTATCTACCACGATACACAGGAGCTTCCATCAAACCATAGCGATAGAACATGTAACCAAAGAAAACATTTCGACCGAGATTCGAGCGAGATCCAAACTTGGTTTGTGGAATAATGACCGGGGACTTGGAAGTGTAGACAGGAATCGGAGTGTTCTTGTGGACTCGGAATGAACTTGAAGCTTGGCTAAGGCGTTGTCTGGTCTTTGAATTCGATGAAGATGAGCGTCTTCTACGAGACTTAAATTTATTTGAACCAGTTCTTCTAGTCGTCGAGCCTCTTCTCCGAGACGTACAGTCGGAAAATTCCAGCAATGCTACCGCAACGATCACCAAAAATACTGCTAAAGTCAAACCTTTCATTTTGGCGAGGAAAACGATGAATACTTTAGGGCGGAAAATGTAAATGACAACGAGCGATGTATGTATATTTAAATATACATACATACAATTTTTATACTCGTAATCAGTATTGAAATGTTGCTAAATGTAATCTTACATATTTTTTTTACGTTTTTGAATATACCTTAATTTAAATTTCAATATAATTTTTTCAACTGAATTCGACTTCCGTTTAAAGAAATAGAAAAACAAATCTATAAACTAAAAAGGATAAACGGAAGAGTTGACAAAATAAAAGTAAAGAAAAAATGCCACAAAATATATGCATATTATAGGTACTTATTGACTGAGTTTGGTTGGCGGGCCGTATACGAGAAATATTTATGGGGTAACGACCGAGCGCAGAGGCATTTTATCACATCACCCTATTTTTGTTGTAAAAAGTTTGAAAAATCCTGCTAAAAAATTGATAAATACTACAGCGCACGTAAACGGAGGAGGACAAGACCGATTTTTCCAGAGCGCGCGAACAAGTCCATAAAGGATGTATGAATATATTAGCAATAATGCAGCAAAAAATAAAAGTACACAACTTAAGTGTTAAGAAAAAATTTAATCCGTGTTTTTTAACTCCTATATATATTTTCTGTGGAACTTCTCATCTAAAATAAATCGATCTGAACTTTAGAAGATTTTCGTTTTCAAAATACGAAAATGGTTTGATGAAAAACCTGTAATCATGTAATTCTGAATTCAGTCCAAAAAAGAATAAAAAGGACTTGCAAATAGGAAGTAAAAAGGAAACATCGTATGCTTTATTTTAGGAGAAACGCTTTTCAAAAAAGAGCGAAAAATGATAGGATCGAAATCCTTGCCAAACCCATTCATCTGTCTTTGTTATGCGTTATCTTCCGCAAGTTTCCAAGATGGATAATTTGTTTTTTAGAACTGAAAAATACTGGGACTCAATATCTATCACAGTCTTTGTTATACAAGTCATTTGCTAGGATAAATTGCAGTATAGTATTAAACTCCAAGGGCGGATCCAGGGTTTTTTGAAAGGGGGGTCTCAGGGGTAAATTTTGTGGGCAAAGGAATCCCAGTCGCATTTTTACCACAGGAAGCCCATTTGACCTCAGGAATGACAGGGGGGTCGCGACCCCCCCGACCCTCCCCCTGGATCCGCCCTTGAACTCGACAAGTAAAATGAATCAAATGAGTTAATTAATACAGTGCGCAGCTTGACAGTCATAAACGCAGATTAATGAATTTGAATTTTCAAATAAATAGAGAAATGCCAACAAGTCCATTCAACTTTTAAATCATTATTTCCAAAACAACCCTTCTCCTTATTAAGAACCTTTATGAGCAGTAACTGAAGAACTGGATATTACATTTAAAAATTAAAATTGAATTTCAAAAGTGGAAAACATTTCAAGTTTATATATTTGACGAAGAAAATTTACAAAGAGCTTATTCAAAAGTAAGACATCGCTGCTAATGCGCCGCCTCTCACCAATGCGGCCCAATTTGAGTCCTGCCGATCTCGATGCCGTATGTGAGTAGAGTTGTTTGTTGGTTCTCTCCTGTGCTTCGAGGGTTTTTCTCCGGTTTTCTTCCCTGCTCAAAAATCAACTCCTAAATTCTAATTCGATCTTTGGGCTTTCTCCTAGTTTGGAGCCTAGCTCTGTCGTGATCTTCCCACGCTGTGATACAACAGCGAAAAGCTTTGTAGATTTTTTTTTTAGAAACATCTGGTCGGCTTTAAAAAAATGAGGTTAGACGAGGTAAATACGGGTATTTCAATTTGCAATTTTCTTCGAAGACCTTCCAACAGCTTGTTGTGAATTTTGGTTTTTCACTACCGCAAGTCATAAAGGTACCGACTGATTATTTTTGATTGACAGCAGCAATTACCAAGTTCGCAGAGTATAAATGAAAAACCGCAGTACTGATAAAACAATTTTGCAATAGCACAAAGACCTTTTCGACTCATTTAACTTGTGCGTCAGTAGAGCTAGCGCTCGGACATGCTCGTATGCTATTAAGGCATTTTTTGCTCGAGTTTTACAGTAGGCTGTTTTCGTTAGGTATAAATCCCTAACTTGTTATCTTTTATACGTACGTATTCAGTGGAATATTTATTTGTCGTTTTGGCGTACGTATAAAAGATAACAAGTTAGGGATTTATACCTAACGAAAACAACTTACTATGACTACAAAATCTTTTGAAGTCTTGGCTAAAACAATTTCGCTCGATCGAGTTTTAAAATCTAGTTTTAGAAATTAGCTTAAACTTACTAAATAGCGCAGCGCACTGATTCTAAAAATAGCTTAAAGATTCGGACAAACATTGCATTTTGTTTAACCGCTACGAGGATTATACGAACCGATTTTATTATTTTTACTTAAAGTTACAATAATAACTCATGTAAACTAAGATCAACTGCGATCGGCTGTGAAAATTATCTGCTGAAAGTAAACTTGTAAGTTTGTTTGTCCGAATTTCGCCTTTGTCTTCGTTTTTATGACGTCACGGTTGCGCTGCGCTATTATAATGGACTCTGTCAAAATCCTGTACTCTGATTGGCTGAGTTACTATTTCTACACACTAATTGACATTTCTAATGACGAGAGAAGTATTAATTTCAAACCTCTAATTTAGTTTTCAATTAAAAACTGTTGAGGAAACAACGAATTATCTATCGTACATTCATTCAATAGTTTTAATATTACTATAGATAATGTATTAAAATATCGAATGAAATATAAAAAGAAATTAATATTAAACCAAATATTCGCCATTTATTTAACTTTTCCAGCTAATATGATCATTATTTATTATACAGTTGGGATAGTACGAGCGCGCTGATTGGTCGCCAACTGTGCTTTATCAATGAACAGAGCACAGAGCTGACGCCAACTGCGCGTGCAAAGTGCTACTAGATACCTGCAACCGTCTTTATTTTTGCCTAAATAAATTCAATACCGAAATAAGATTAGCAACTATATAATAAAACGAATAAAACAGCATTTTCCGTGCTCCGTCCAGTAATAAAGCACTTAGGAAGCGCCGTAAGCACTCAAGAAGTGTGAGAAGTACTCGCCGACGGCTCGTGCTTCTCCTTACACTTCATTCGTGCTTACGCCACTTCCTGCGTGCTTTATTGCTGAACGGAGCGCGGAAAAACCTGTTTTATTTGTTAAATACAAATGAGCTTCTATTTGTGTTTTCAAGGGACCTTGTGAGACCTTGTCTTTCACTTTAAAAAGGGGCTTACGTATACAGTAAACGACGAAACAAAAAGACGAAGATATGTCAGTGCAAATTTAGAAGTAGATAAGAGGTTTGTTCTATTAAAATAGGCTTCATTACGTTTTCTAGCTTGTCAAAACATTCGAAATTGTGTTTTTTTCCTCAGGACTCCTGAATTGATTGCCAACGATGCCCAAACATTTTTAAAAACCATATTTTTTTCAAATATGATGCGTATTTATGACCACAATAAGGAAAAGTAACATATTCCTAAAATATGACTTTAATTTAGGAATATTATGATTATTGATGTTATACGTTAACTTTGGGAGCTATTTTACGTGCAAAAAACGTATTTTCCTGAATATATATATTAATTGGTCGTTATATTGTTTATTTTGTTTTTGTTTTGCTTTCCTTTTCGTAATTATTTGTATTTTCTTCCGGTGTTGTTTGAGAGCGCATTAATTTTTGTTTCGTTTTTGATTTTCTTGTTTATTTGTGGTTGTTGGTGTTTGAAGATAAAAAATAATTTTTATATGGTTTCGAACCCACGTCCGCCATAAAAGACAATCGAAAAAGCGAATCCACTGTGCCATACCCCCGAGACATTCGCAGTGCTGAGGCTGCGCATGTGATCAGATGACTCACATCACAAGGTTCACCCAATGTACCAAGTTTCGTTACCAAAGCATTCATTGTAATGAGTGTTCGAAAATATCGGCAAAAATGTTTGGTTCTTAAGTCACATGGTATGTGATGTCACGCCATGTCACGTGGTCAGATGGCTGACAACACAAGTCTCCCCCATCGTACCAAGTTTCGTTACCATAGCATGCATCTTTCCGGAGTTATGGCCAAGGGGCCAGGAGATGCGAGGGGCTACCAGATCATAAATTATGACCAGATGTAGGTGGCACGTGCTAGCCTTACTTGCACCTTACGGCAATTGGCCGAGACTAGCCGGTCCCCGGACCATTTCTATAGCTAATCCCCTGTCACGCACGGATTCTGTTGTCTATCTGACGCATTGTTTTCACGCCTATTGTTATGCTGATTCATCTGGAAACGTGGCCCAAGTGAAAAAACTTGAGCTAAGCTAGTACCAGGATGGATGACCTGAAACTAATATCAATTATCGTCGTTTTAGTTGGGAAATCGTCGAAATTTAAAAACTGCTGGGCATTAATATGTATACAATTGTGGACGATCTAAGTCTAAACCCGTTAATGATATTTTGATATATTTTGTTAGGCTTTTTGGCGATCTTCATTCAAAAATGTTTTGTATAACGAAGATTTGAATGTTTTAAAGAGAAAATCATTTCATTGTTCTGTCTGCACTTTAAGTTGTGTGGACCGCAAATTGACAAATCATAACGCGTTGCCATATGCTAAAATATCTTATACCATAAGCATGCGTTTTTGCCGCCTCTGATCGGTTTAGTGTGACGCAAAATCTCTAACCCCCCCCCCCCCCCCCCCCCCCCACCCACATTAAAATTCCTTCTGCTCTGACATCATTCACATACATCTGAAACCTTAGTTTTTGTTGTTGTTCTTGTTGTTGCTTTTTCGTACCCGCTAAAGAACGAGTTTTAAGATCTCTTTAATAATATCGCACTAAACAAGGCACACAACGACTATCATTAATCGAGAATCTCAATTTAATAATTGGTTTGACATTATTACTAGAGTATCCGACCATTTTAACCTTAACTCATAATTCCAATTTGATCTAAACTTCACCCATTTTCAATATTAATCGACAAAAACATCCTAAGACGTCAGTTTGTTTTGCTTGCAAAAGCACGTTTACTTTCATTTGGATTCTTCATTCTTGTCATTGTGAGATTTTGATTTTTTTTCGTGCTCACCAGGGGCCGCATCATCTGTTGGTTCGGCATCCTCCCTGGCTTCTTCATTATTAGGCTCGTCGCTTTCCGCTGGGTAGCAGAAGTTACATGATTTCAAACACGCATAAAAATCATGTTTGGCCATGTTGAAAGCTCCTTCTGTGTTGCTAGTCGTTCCACAATGGCTTCCCTTAGGCATGCAGCTTCCGGGTTTGAATCTGTCCTTGCATTGCCTCTCTAAGAATGAACAAGGAGTATTTTGGCGTTTCGGACACAGGGAAATATCGTACAGCATATCAAAAAACACAAAGGTAAATTTATTATCAATACCAACCTCGAACGATGACCTTCTTGTAACCCTCGGTGTCCACATGTCCTGGCCAAAACTCGTAAGTTTTTTTGGTCTCATAGTCAGATATTATTCCCTGCAAAAAATTAACACATTGGTTATTGTTCCTAGTAAAAAATGATGTTCCTATAGACGTAAGGCCGGAGATGGATGCTGCTAATAATGAACTCCTGATCTTTTATACTGGCGCGATCACAGAGCCATCATGGGAGAAGGATGCTCCTAGTAATGCGCTTGATCCTGATCTGGCAATATCCTGGCCCACAGTCCAAGTATGGAAGACGTATGCAACTAGTAATGGGTTCTCTATGGCTTTCAGACTTCGTATATTAGATGAATGCTCTACGATTTATATTTTGGTTGATATATTGAGGATGAGGAAGATGTAGATGATAATGATAATAATAAAGAATATACA